GAAATGTGTCTTGTTCTCCCGTTTTTTTTCTTCGGCGGATGCTATCTATCGAAAGTCTCATCCTCGTGTATTCTATGTCAATGGGTAGTGGAGAGGTAAGCGAACAAGAGAGAAAAAAGAAACGTGAATGCTACCTAAATGCCAACGTCAATATTTGTTAAAACGTTTTTCGATCGATTCTCTTAAGCACCAAATGAACGGTGGCCAAGCACTCTGCACAAATGGCAGCAACCGTGCAACTAATTAGACGAAGTGAGTGTGTGTGCTGTTGGGTGTTCGAGTGCCGCAAAGCTCCCAATCAACTATGAAAATTGAATATAAATCTTTTGGAAAAGTGAAATTAAGTACGGAGAAGCCACATGCACCTTCGCCTAGCAATTTTCAAATCAGCCTCACAAAAAAGCGGAGAACAGATGGAGAGGAATGCTGAAGGTGAACGGCACAAACACAAAGTGTGAGACAGCAAAGAAAGAAAGAATTGAAATCAATATTTTTAGTTTTGTCATATTATGTCATAGTCGCAGGAGTCTGAGAGAGCTGGTTGAAGGAGATAGATTTTTTTTTTCACTCAATGGAATGAATAAGACCAAGTTTCGTGCGAGAAAAAAAAAATTGATAATGATAATAGGGAAAAAAATTAAGAAAAGAAAATGATGTGTCTGCATTCACGGCGAACGAGAGTCAGACACCTTCCGCATTTCGATGTGTGCAAGTGAGACCAGGGCGGACGAGAGAGTGGAAAAAGCGCCGACAGACAAAATAAACCTGCGGCATTTTCCATCTGATTCCTGATTACATTTCACTCACTGCACTTTTATTTTCGGTTGTTTTCTTCGACGGTGGATATTCCATTCTCTTCGTGGTTTTTGTCCCTCTCTATCCTCAGCACCCGAGTGTCGTGTGATTCTCTTTCAATTTTCTCGGCTGCACCATTTGCTTATCATTTACTTTTTTACTGTGTTTGGTTTTCATAGGTTGTCATATGCATGCAAAACCACTCTGGCGTTCACGTTTTTTTCTCGGTCGCCCTCTCTCTCTCTCTCTCTCTCTCTCTCTCTCTATGTCGTTTGGCTGCCATCGCATTCTTTGTCGTTGTGCTGTTTTTTTGTGAGTGCTGGTTCGTTTTGCTTAAATTCGCACATATATGAAAAGCATCTGCGACACCCGGCCATAATTCATTCGAACGTTTTTACACTTTTTTGAGCATTCAATCGTGTTGCTGTGCTCACCTAATTGCTAACAAGAACACTGAATGTTCGATTGCGTGTGCAAAACAAAACAAGGCAACCAATTACACTAACTGCTACTGAATCACAATCACGTTGCGACCGATGGTGTGGTGAATAGTGTGTCGGAACTATTGGTTGGGTTGATTTGGTCCATTGAACTACTGATGAACTCGCTCTATATCTCTCCCTCACTCTTTATCATTCGATTCTTCGGGAAATTGTGTCTTGTGCCCAACGCGCATTTTACCTTTTGTTTATTTTGATTTTTTTTCAATTGTCTTTTGTCTCCATTCATAACATGTATCCACTTGGATGGCAAAGTGCTGTGGACTAGGCACAGCGTCATTCTATCGCTCCGTATGACATTCGACGTGAGTTAAAAACCGAAAGAAAAAGAAGAGAACAACAACAGTACCACTGTAACTTGGTGCTCACGTACTTATGTGGTGCTTCGACAATTTCATCGCACGTAAATTGATGAATTTATTGAATCGCTCGTTCGTTCGTTCTCGTTGCCTCGAGAAAAAAAAATTGTTTCGTTAGTGTTTTTATAATGCCCTTGGCACGTAAAGAACACACGCATTTTTTTCCTCTCTGGCACCATCATTGACTTGTTCATCAATTCTGGCTCTTATTTACCTTCCGTTTTATTGATTTCCACATTTTTATAGACTCGATGCGTGCGAAAAAGAAAGTGAAAAAAATGGGAAAATTTTTATTTGTTTTTATTCGTAATTTTTTCTTCATTTCATTTTATAAAACAAACAAAAAATTGTTGGCCGTAAAACGATTTTTTTATTATCAAAAAGTATTCTCATGATCATCTCATTTAATTTGAGGGCTGTACCAAAATTTTATATTCTTATTAGCGAACGAAAAACAAAATTATCACGTCGTTAATTTCTGCTCGGGTTTTTTTTATTGTTGTATCAGCCATTACAATCAATTTTCAATTTTACAACCGGGTTCCCTTGTGCCAATGTCGTTGGTAACCTCTCGGAAAAGTTCTATTTGCAGCCATGAGCCGAAAAAAAATAAGTATGCATAAATTGTTGCAGGAACCCGCGTGAATTTATAACACATCCATTTGTTTGCTGCTGCTGTTGTTGTTGGTTTCTCGCATTTGCGTCGCTATTCAGTGCATCATAGGTGATTTTCTATTTTACATTCGCACGCATTTCAAACGACTTTCGATTGCCGCTCTACTCTCACTCATCGCTCTTGCTCTCATTCTCTCTGTGTTTTTTTTTATTATTGCAAAAGTATGTAGTAATTTTTTTATGAAAGCATAAATGTTGCGTTCGTAAACGTTTACGCAGCTGATACTTTATGACAATCTATAGATCATCTCTGTTATCAGTTTCAATATCCTTTACCTACCTTATTGCCGTATAAATGAATGAACTGAAAATGAACGAACGAGCAAGTGGTTAGGAAGAGCCAGATCGCCGAAAAAAAACACCAACACTTTATATCGATGAAACGCATCATAAAAAAATGACATACTGAAAACCATACCGAAAAGCCAGAGAGAGAGAGAGAAAAAAACACGCGCACACACACACACCATGCATAATATTAGCATGTTTGCACATGTTGCATTGATGATGGTCCCATTTATAAATATGAATTTATTAATACAAATGACAGCTCAAACCAATCGAACTGTTGCAAATATATCGGCAGTCGGATGGATATGGGCGCGCACAACGCACACACAGATGATTGCAAAGCCGATGATAACACTGTTGCGTTGTTTTTTCCCCAACACCGCTTTTATTACGCGCTGATCGCAATAAACAAAACATTGATAAAATAAACAGAGCCACCGAGCAGAGAACGAGTGAATAGTGAAAAATATGTGTGTGTGCGTCGTTTACCAATTCGTGTTATATGTTAATCGGTGTTGCTCTGGCCTTTGGAAATGGTTTAGGTTACGGTGACACATCGGCACATTTGCGTTCATTTATTTTCTTTTTGAGCTATTTATATGCGCGTGTATTTGCAATAAAAACGCCGTTTTCTAGGACGGATGCTCCGCTCCTTATTTTCATTCACTTTTAATAGTCTCTTAAACTATTTTAAACTACCAAATTACTGGAAATATATTATTCGATATATATGTGTGTGTTATTTGACAAAAATAACACCGCAGTGCAACCGATTCATTCACAGAGGCACATTCTGCCGTCATCGCGTAGGAAATTCGGGAAAAAAATCCTTAACTACAACAAATTTCGGGCTAATTATCGTCAACAACATCATGATTATTTGTTTGGTCTTTGAATTCCTTATCATACATCATAGAAAAAACAAGCGACACACGCAATTACAATGAAATGTTCTCACTCTCTCTCTCTCTCTCCCGGTCCGTGCCGGATGATAAAAATATTGAAGAATGTAAGCGGCAAAAATTTGGCTCAATTCCATGAATGACAGTCACCTCAAACAAGTCGACCGATATCAACAAAAGAAAACAAGCCAGTTCAGCTCTGCACCGAATACAATGTAACGCGTCAACCGATTTTAAACATTTTCAGCTTCAAAATGCTCTCTCCCCCTCTCTCTCTCTGAATGTGATGCAACTCCCTTCCTCCTGCCCCTCCATTTCGCCCAGGCACGAAAAATTTCCGGTACTTTATTTTTGCCAAAGTGTCACCCAAAAAATGCACTGCAATTCGGTGAGTTTTACTCTGGCTAAATATTTACGATGTCATTTTCTTGGCTTTGGCACTGGCTCCCATTCAACATACGTGTTCAAATAGTTATAAAAATAATTATTGTTATTGTAAAAATCGACTCGATATTTTTTCTCGTGCATTTCGTTCGAATCATTTCACTTGAACTACCCGCATTCACCAAGATCCAATCAAGAGACGTTTGTCACCTCAATAGTATCTTTTTATTCGCATAACACACCGAATAAATACCGTGCATGGCACAAGAAACAATTCCAAATCGTCTTACTATTTCGATTGTTTTTCGTTGTTGGTGCGGCGTGAACACTCGAAACAAAACAGAATACGAGGAAAGAAGAAGCCGGCAAACTGCTGCAAATAAAAGGTGCATCAAGCAATAAAAGTCAAGGAAGAAGAAATTACGAAAAGAATTCAGGAAAATTCGTATTCGTGAATTGGATATCGGCCAGAAAGGATGAAGTTATTGCAATATTATGAAATCGAAGCAGCAGCCAGTTGCCACATACATTTTATTTGATTGTAGGAAAACAAGCCAGGAAAAAGGAAGGAGAAAAAACGAACAAGTGTCGCATCCATGTGGCTGACGTTAGGTGAAGAACCGACGAAAAAAAGTAAATAAGCAATACGTAAACCACAAATTGGAGCAAAAACATCATAAAATGGTTTAATTGTTCAAATATATTTTGTGTTTGTCGAATAGAAAATGCGTCGAATTAGTTATTTCTCACTCGGTTTCCTTTTTTCCTCTATCCCGTTTCTGCTCTTGGCTTTGAGAATGAATTCGGCGCATGAAGGAACACTTGAGACTGTCCTGAATGGCTACAACAAATTTAAATTATAGGTGCCCTCTCTCTCTCTCTCTCACGTTCATTCTCAGCTTTAACGGACTTCAACGCCATAAAAATATTATTCTCTCGTGTCGATTCTTAATTCTACACATCTTGTCCGCCTTTTCCCTCGATCATCATTACTGCATACAATAAAAAGAAGAGAAAAAGTCACGAGGAGAAAAAATGACAATAAAAACTGAAATATTTGTACAATGAAAAAACAAATTCATTCTATTATTAAATTTTATTATTTTTGGTGTGTATGTGTGTGTGTGTGTGTGTGTGATGCCGACATCCAAATAAATTTAGAATTTATGAACAAATTTCATCTGCTTAACTATAATCTGTCACATTGCCACCGTTTTCGTTTACATCATTTGAACAGTGATTTGGTTGAACACTTAAAAACAATAAAATTCATTTCGATCAAAGTTCTGCGGGCCGCCCGGTAGAAGAGGTGTGCGCATTTGTGAATTTAGGTGATGAAACAAAAACACATCGCGACAGGCGATGTTTGGATCTATTGTTTTGTCACACAATATTTTAAAAATATTACTTTTGCAGCGTGACAAACGGAGGAATTTCTTTTAATCGCTAAATAAACAACTCAAATGCTCTTGAATTCGATTGTGAGCTTATAATTTTATCTCAGGTTTTCGAAATGCGTCGAAATTTTCGTTGAGTTTTCAAAATATCAGGTGTGAGTTGAAATCACAATGAATTATTTACCCCAGATGCAATGTGAGTAGATTTATTATATAGGCAAATGACATGCAGCACAAGGCAAAAATGAGCGTGCGTGTGTTTGCGTGTATTTGCGTCGACAACGCGATGAATTCATGGTTCGCTCACCGAGATTATAACAATGGCAACAATAATGTGTGAACTCATTTATCATCATTAAAATACACGGCATAATGTATGACATTAAGTCAAGCAATCAACCACGCGCGCGGCACAAAGTGGGAAACTTCGGTATTTTCTCGAGCAACCGACATCGTTATATGTCTTTGCAATAGAATTTGTAATGACTCACAAAATCGGTTAGGTAGCACGAGTACGTGCGAGAAAGAGTTACACGCGAAATCAAATTTAAACTTATTTCATTTTGGAGATCGACTTATAATGTAGTCTATCTGGCGAATTCGAATTTAATTCTCCCTCTCTCTCTCTCTCTCTCTCTCTCTCTGCACATTTTTTGAGAAAAGTTACTCTTAATCTAGGTTCAGGTGGTTTCTATTCGATAACACATTTTCGCGTTCGCAACAATACATTTCGAGATTGAGTGCGGTTGAAAATGATCCACGAATTAGTTTCGAGAAAATGATATTAAATCACTAATAAATATATATAAATATGGTTGGCGCAGAGGTGAATGCTTGGAATGTTTTAAAATAATTAAAAGTCAACAGAGAAATGTTGTGTATTGCCGTAATCTGATGTGCTGTGATGTGTTATTAATGTCTTAATGCCAAGGTTTTTTTTTAAATTAAAATTAGATTTATCATCTCTAATGACTTTACCAACTCACACACATAAAATTTCGGCACATTTTTGTTGATACTTTGAGAAAAAGTAAATCCTGAAGGTGTTGCGTAACATACGCTAGGTTTTTGATTATGTTTTTCATTAAAATGTTGCGAGTGCAAGTCAGTGAATATGATAAATGCGATTCACTTAAAATCTAAAATCGACACAATGAAATGGATTCGAATCGGCAATGTTTTCATCGTGGTAAACGAAATGTTCTTAGAACTAAAAGATCGCGGTACAGAGAAAATATTTGGCTCTTTACTGGCATGCACCAATTGCGTTCAGAACATCGAATCCGGAAAAGTGGCCGACATCGCATCGCTGCAAAGCAAAAAAGAACGAAAATCCCACGTAGAATTAAAATTCATAATTCAATTTCGATTCAATTGCAAATTGATGTGTACCTGTAGAGTTCGAGTTCCATGCGAATCAATTGGTTGATGTTCATCGAATTTTTGAAGATAGTCACCGTTGGTACGTTGCCTTTTTGATCGATGACTTTGACCTGTACCTTAACATTGTTGTGGGTCAAAATATCGTTGAGCCGCTTGCACACATTGTCTTCGAATGTGGGCATCAAATGCAGTCTGGCTGGCACGGCTTGATCTGGATAATAGCTCAAAATCGATGTGTCATTTAGCGCATAAATGTTTGATGCTGCCACCGACTGTGTGTCACCTTTATCCATGTAATAGCACTTGTATTTGGTCGGCAATCCAGTCTCGACACCCATAATCTTGGCACGATGATGCATGTTCCGTTCGATGTCATAAATTAATACCACACAATTGGCCGCTTCCGAATACCGTAGTCGATGTGTAAGCTGTTGATTTTCGCTCACATACTGTTGGATTAGCGTATCGATGTAGTTTGTGCTACGCTCATCCAAATTGAAGTAAACAAGACCAGTTGGCGATACGTGCGACACCTTTGCATTGGACATGGTGCTGTTGCTGTTGCTGTTGTCATCGTCTGCGTTGTGCAGCACAAATGCGGGTTTGGGCAACGATCCACCGATGCGCTTCAGCAAAATCGGTTTGTAAAGTGTGAATTTCGGATAAAAAATGAACGGTGTAATAGACACTTTTGGCATTTTAATGCCATGATTCAATTGCACTTGATACTGTGGTTCGGACATCATCAAGCATCCAATAAATTGTTTATTCAGTAGCCAAGCACTGAAGCAGCTCTCGATGTGCGGACAATGGTACAATTCATCGAAACCAAACAACTTGAAACAGATCGCTTGTGGTGCAATGTTTTCGTATTCGCCCGCACAATGGAACAATTCATCGCGTGCAATCGTCTCGAATAGGCCAATGTCAATGAAGAAACAATCGCAGTACATGCGATTTCCAAACCAAAAAGTCTTTACTACTCGAACCCGATGAACGACATCCGCATTTTTCACGATATACACTCCACCGGCGAGTACACCTTGAGCTGGTGTCAGCATTGATTGCGATGTAAATCGTTCGGCTCGGATGAACAGCTCCTGCGAACAAAAATATGACGCGATTTAGTGATTGTTGTAATCGTTTTCAATTTTTCAATTTAATTTACTCACCGCATTCATCGTCAGTACCGCCCACACTTCATTCGGTGAAACAACGTGCGTGATTTTTATGTTCCAATAATTTTCATGCCATGGTAATTTCAATTGGCCATAGACCGATTCACGATCGAAGTCTGTATCTTCGTCCTCTGAACTGGACACCAATGACGACACTGAACTCATCTGTAATCGAGCACAATTAGTTATTGCAAATTTTATTAACCAATTGCCCATTTTCGACAACGAAAAACCAAAAAAAAAGTAGACTGTTCCAATCAACAACAGCTTACATCTGATAATTCTGGCAAATCTCCCAAAAACACCATGATGAACCGTACTGTTTTCGCATCTGCTTATGTTGACAATCGAACGCATTCAAAACTAAAATCAGACTGATACAAATGCACACTCGATCGAAATGGCGAACTCAACTTTTTTTTCTTCTCACAAACATTTTAAACGTCCAACGTTCTGTTTTTTATAACGCAGATTCTGCATGTTTGGATCAAATATCAGTGTGCTGCTATACATTCAAATCGAAAATCATCTTTCTTTATCTAACTCACTTACTTTGGTTTCGTTTCTTGTTCCGAACAAACTCATTTTTCGGTTGGTGTGTTGTTTGTTTTCATTTGATTTTTGCCGGAAGGTTCTGAGAAATGTGCCACAATAAACACATGGATTTCGGTTGAAAACTTCAATCGACCGAACGGTATTTGACAGTTCGAATGTTGAATTGATATCCGAAGCATTTTCGATGATTTCACCATTTGAAACTCAATGGCGGCAAAACAATGAATAACCATTCACATGTACAAATACAATTCAGCAGTGAGTTACCACAACAGTGTGTCGTTGTGTGCATAGAGTAGCGACTTTTTCTTTTACTTCATCATTTCATTGTTCGTCTACATTTCTCAATCGTGTTCATTTCACCACAGGCGTTTGTGTGTGCGATATCTTTCACTGTGTGTGCGTCTCAACTGGTATCATCATAATATCCAACCGGGAGAGAGTATTCATTCGTTTGCAAATAGCACGCACTCGACAAAAGTAATTTAAACAAGTGGCTCAATTATGAGGTAAGATAATGTGTTATTCCGTTTTCTTTGGCTGCTTCATCAACGAAAAATTCGGATGTACTCATTTTCCCATCCTCACATTTATGCTCCTACTTTCTCTCTCTCTCTCTCACTGCCTTGGTCGGTCGCTGCCTCTGAATGGTAGCGTATATACAACACGGTGGGAGCGATAGGCATGCAGCGAATTAGTTCAATACACAAAGCCAAACAGAACATAGATTAAAAGCGCGATTCGCTCACTGATACCGATGAAAATTGTTATTTAAGTGAGTATACAACAGGCAACATGTTGTTGTTGTTGTTGTTGTTGCTGCTGCTGCCGCCGTCGTTGTAGCCGGAACGTAGTCTTGTGTTTGTGTATTTGATGACAAAATTCCGGGTTTCCATCTTTTGTGTGCATTACGTGGAGCGCCATTATCACGGCAGGCTCGACAAAAGACAAACCATCCCCGAGAGCACACAACCATTCGCCAGCTCACTCGCTCGTTCGCTCCATTCGATGCTAACGAAAATATGCTTTCGTTAATATCGCAAACGCGAAAATACTTGACATGGAACCGAGCAATTTACAAACGTAATGAGGTAATTATGTGTGTGTATGTGCGCCGCGGTAAATTTTAAGGTATTTTCACTTGTCTTTATTAACGTGTACTGTGTGAGCCACATTCACTGCTTGTGGCATATTCAGCGAGCAAGTGAGCGACAGAGAGAGGGAGAGACCGAGCAGCGGAACCGACAACATCCGCGACAAACGCTCTCTATGCTCAACAACATTGTAAGATAAGGATTATGACATGTAAATGAATATGTAAAGTGTTATTGCCGATGTTGTTGTTGTTGTTGTTGTTGCCATCATTGTCGCTGCTTTTCGGTGGCTCAATTTTCGTCTCTACGTTTGTGTTTACACTTGTTTTATGTATGAAAAATGTTGCCGCGCACCCACCGAAAAACCTGATAGCAACAGCATCCAAGACAACGGAAATACAAACTCGACGCATTTTTTCACTCTCTCTCTCTATATTTGTTTCTGTGCCGTGCCACTTAAAATGGCAATTAGCAGGGAAGTAAGTTTTCTTGATCTTGATTCAACAGATAAAACAATCCTTTTGACATGGAAACGATGCTATAATTTCCCCCGTACTCAGCGCACACACGAATACAGAGAGAGAGAGAGAGAGAGAGAGAGAGATCCACTCGACTTGATAGTCCCGAAAAAACAGAATGCCAACCAATCCCCTGGCCGCTCACTCGTTTATTACTCACTTCTTCTTTGACTTTTTTTCTGCGTTTGTTAATGTGCAAAACAAACCTGACTATAAAACCTAGCTAGTTTACTACATCTTTATGTTTTCGCCGAAATATAGAACAAACTCATAAAGATTTTGTGCTGTGCCAAGTGATGATTTGGACACCACGAAATGTGCGAAATAATAAAAATATCACTTGAGCCCCAAAAAAAGAGAAAAATCAAGAACAACAACAACTGTTTATCATCTTTTACGTTGCTCATTTCAATCATGTGCAAGTGCAGGTTCGAATATATGATTTCTTTAATCTCAGTGTAATAAAAAGTATGGGGAAGAAAGAACCAGCTCTCTGGTTATGCGGATGAATGAACGAAATGAACACATCACATCTTCATTACGAGTGTGAATTTTGTTAGAATTTTTGCATTCCATACGGTGCCAATTAGCCGACTAAGTGGCCTGTCATTGCATTTTTGCTATACAATTTCAAACATTTAGAGCTAATAAAACGGTGACAAGAAATGATTCATGTCATTTTGATGTAGTTCAATGTATGCAAAAGCGAGTGTGTTCGTCTTCAAACGTGAATTTTTTTATTTTCAACTCGAATGAAATTCTCTCTATTTGAGAAGCAAATGACTCTCCTTTGAACCAACGGAAAAAACAAAACACAAAACCAGAACAAGAATGAGAAAAATATGAGAAAAAAAAAACCAACCTTTGGTGAGATTTGAATGTATGATGACAAGTTATCTCACGGTTTTAGTCGGCGTGATACGAATGTTAGCATTATCTCATGATGAAAACCCCCGACAACTCGTTTACAATTTTTTCGAAGAAATAGAAGCGGTTGTCGATCACCACCGACTGGCAAATAACCGAAAACTTGTTTAAAAACTGAATTTATGAAATGAAATATATACAGAAATGAAACCTTTGTAGTGGTGACTTGGTATTTGTAGAAAAGCACCAGAGAGGCGGCTTTGCATTGTCTCGATCGGTGTGCTTCTATAAGCGATGTATGTGCGATTATTCATTGCATTCCGAAAGACTTATTGAAATCGAGTTTCATTTCGACACACACAGCACATAAGCGTTTAAGTCCCAGTATATCGGTATTCGATTCCATATACTACCATATTAACCTGACATTTTTTTTCTGTATTGACAGAGAGAGAGAGAGAGAGAGGAAGAGAGCGAAAGAGCGAGAGCTATGTTTGACTTCTGTCAAAGAACAACATGAACAACGATAAAAAGAAGTCATAGTGTTGATACTGAACACAAGTGCGTTGCATAGACCGCAGAACCGTCTACACAATTTGCGTTGTTGTCGTTGTTGTGCTTGTTTTTTTCGTCTTCACTGTGTTCTATCGGTCATTTAGTGTTGTCTCTCATTCTCTTCTATCTTCTTCTCCGTGTATACGGTCACATGCACATCTTATGGAACGGCTCTCGCTAATCGGATCGCCGTTGTGTATTTGTTGCTTGTGATTCGGATTTGGTTGTTGTTTTGTGTGTTTATGTTTTAGTGTTGAAAATTAAAATGTGACTCTGGCTAAAATTGATTACTAGCCAGTTTCATTCGATCCGATCACAGACAAGTTGACATCACAACCTTAACGAATCTGGACGTAATTTTTTGTTTTATTTGAACTGAAAAAAAAATTTGCGTTCGTGGTTCGTGCTGCGACTTCAATAAACAATTTTGTTTCGATTAGTAGATTTAATTTGTGTTGATTTAAAAATAAACGTATCTGTTGTGCCGTACCGAGTTCAAATACTCAAAGTGACTTTAAACGAAATTGTATATTTCATGTTTGACTGAACAATTGTTTTAGAAAGAGAAAAATATTCGTGCAATGAAGAAATTTATAATATGGACCGTTGTTTTATTAGTGTATGCAGGCTACATTGTAAAAGGTAATGTCATACATTGACAATTGACTCAACAATTTTCATTTATTGATTGTCACATTTTAATGCATGATTCTCAGAATTGACGGTTAGACCGAATTCAAAATGATCGTTTAAAAAATGTTGATATTGGGAAAAAACGTTGGCTTGATATCGGCCTGGTACTTCCCAGACCAATGACATTTTCTAGCCAGACAGCAATGCAAACAAAAAAATTGTGGCAAAATTTACGTCACTACTCAGCTCTCGCTCAGCCTTTTTCCTTGTGTACCAAAGCATTTTTTTGCGTATTTGGGTATTTCCTATGGAAATAAATACACGTTCGTACACACAGAGAGACAAGGTATATCAACACATTTCGTTTTGGTATGGAGGCTCAGTGTGATAATGACAAACACTAGTTTATCATACAGCATTGAAGTCAACCGGTTTTTTCGCATTTAATGAAGAAGAAGAAAACAAATAAACAATGAAAGAGCTCAACGAAACATGAACGAGCGAACGGACAAGCGATGGCTAACACACCAATCCGCGACGGCAGCAGCAGCAAGTTTTATTTTTGTTTGTGTCGCACACACTGTGATACGTATGGTTTAGAGTGTTGCGTAGCATTTATTTTGTATCATATCATTGAGCTTAGTTCAGCGCGTTCAATGTCAAAGCATTGTCAGCTGTCGGCCTGACGATTCCATTTCGAATGAACCAAACGCTAAAGAGTACAACGTTCCGATCACATAGGCTGATTCAATCAAACACATGATAATTTATGTTTTGCTTTTTTGTTTTTGTTGTAGGTCAAGAATCTGGTTGTGATGCGATTCTTTCGTGGCAATGCAAAAACGGTGAATGTATTGGAATTGGCGAACGATGCAACGGTATCGCCGATTGTACGGACGGTAGTGATGAAACGGTGCGCGAATGCATCTCATTTCAATGCAGCGAAAGTAAATTCCGATGTACATACGGCGCCTGTGTAAACAAAACGGCCGAGTGCAATGGAGCCAAAGAATGTCACGATAATTCAGGTGATTTGAATATGCAAACGAAACCAATGCACATTAGTTATGATTTGTTGTGTCTAATTTTCAAATTCGATTTTTTCGCATTTTCTAGATGAGCTCACCGAGAAGTGTCTGCCAGACAATGACGACAGAATACGTGGAAAATGTTCAGCCGAACAATTTCAATGCAAATCGGGCGAATGTATTCCCATTGACAACTTGTGCGACGGAAACAAAGGTAAGCTGACATCACCGTTAACACAGATTATTGCAATTGGAACTTGAACTCAATTTTCAACATGTACAATGTTACATTTTAGAATGTAGAGATTCATCGGACGAATCAGTTGAGTACTGTGCATCGAAATGCTGTCCTCCATTCGGATTTCGATGTGGATACGGGGCTTGTGTTGATGAGAAAGCAAAATGTGATGGAAATATCGATTGTTTAGACGAATCCGATGAAAACTACCTGTTGTGCGGCTACCCAGAAACTGGACGTCCACAGATTACAACGACAACAAGCACAACAGTCAGACCAGCTTTCGATCCAAATAAGATTTACTTTACCAATCCATTCGAGGACATTCCAAATGGTATAAATATTTGACAGAATGCGATTCGCAGCACAATTTTCAATTTCTTTTTCAATAAATAACAAAATTTTGATTACAAAATTCCGCAGGCGCTTGTCGTATTACAAAAATACCACGAAACGGTTGGATTGAATACGCTTCGGAGCCGAATGACAAATTGTCACCGGGCGAATTTGTTAATTCAGTTACAACAGTTAACTATAAATGCCTTCAAAATCATATCATCGAAGGTCCAACTGCAAATTTCTGTTTCCAAGGCCGTTGGAGAGCTGAAATTCCCGACTGTAGACCAAGATGCAGTACAAAGGCCATTACTGGTATTTCAATTGTTGCCACCAGTTGCTTCTTGAATGACGTTGAAGTTCGTTGCTCCGAACCGGCTGAACCGGGCACAATCGCTCGCGTCAATTGTCGCGATCGTTACGAGCGTTCATCAGCGTCAAAACAACAAATCATTACGTGTGGAGATGACGGTATATGGACACCATTGCCTGAGCCATGTTCACCAATTTGTGGCGAAGAGGCACCTGAAGGTACTCCATACGTTGTTGGTGGCTTCCAAGCTTCGATCAACGAAGTTCCATGGCATGCCGGTATCTATAAATTCAACGGAAATGCATACAGTCTTCAATGCGGTGCCACAATCGTTAATGCTCGTGTCGTTGTTTCGGCTATGCATTGTGAGTATTCAAGTACCTTTTCAATTCATCGCATTATTCTAATGAATGGTGTTTTGCTTTAGGTTTCTGGGATCCAAGTGAAGCCAAACCATACGATTTGTCACAGTTCCGTGTTGCAGTGGGTAAAGAGAAGCTTGGCTTTGATGCCATTGAAAATCAAAAGGAACAAAAATTCGAAGTTGAACGTATCTTCTACGAGCCTGGATATAATCACGCAACTGGCAACTATGCCTCCGACATCGTTTTGATCGTGCTGAAAAATACAATTGAATTCAAATCGTACATTACTCCAATTTGCATTCCGTATGGTTTGACATATGATGATCGTGTTGTGCCAGCTGGATGGAGAGGTCGAGTCGCTGGTTGGGGAAAAACAGCTAGCGGTGGTGCACCGAGTGAATTCTTGAAAATCGTCGAATTGCCAACCATTGATCGTGCTCAATGTCTTGCCGAATCGGACATCGGATTCCGGCCACAAATTACACCAGACAAATTCTGCGCCGGCCATTTGAACTCGAACGTGAGCGTGTGCCAAGGTAACATTTTCGAACGACATTTATTTGTTAACATTTTTTGTTAATCAGGATTGACTCGATTTGTTTTCAGGTGACAGTGGCGGTGGCTTAGTTTTCTCATCTCTTGAAAATAACCGCAAGAAATGGTATTTGCGAGGAATTGTGAGCACGGGAGCGAATAAACAAGACAGCTGTGACAGTGATAAATATTCGACATTCACAAATGTTGCATACTACGAACCGTTGATTTCTACATATGAACCACGTTACAGACCACGATAGATAGAGCCTGTTTTACGATCGATTTCCTTGGGCGACGTTTTATTATATTAGAATACTCCTGATTAGCTTGATAATATCCCAAGTCATTTGTGAAAAATAAATACACTCACGGAACAATAATTTTTTGAATAAAAGACAATTGCTTTTTACACACTATTTGCAATGAATTTGTACTCTGACGGGTTTTTATACAGCAAGTTGCCTTTGTCTCAATAAATACTCTACACCTCCTGGCCATACTGTAATTGTTAATTTTTAATTTTGTACGACAACTAATACTTTGATATTTCTTCGCAGTTTTTACATGACAGTTTTTTCACTCAATCCCATTGTAGAGCTAATCGGTGAGTAAATACGAAAGACAACATTTGTGCTCATCAACACCAATGTCACTTTGGTTTGTGCTTTGAATCGGTGTGCAATTCGAATTTTGTGCAAGAAATAATTGCTTTTGTTTGTGACCTTCTTTGTTCTGTTTGGATCACACTACGTATTTCCGATTTGTTCCATTCAACAGTTTGGTTTGAAAAATGTTGTTTCCGAACAAACGATAAAATCTGTACTCTTCGAGCGGAAATAGACCGCCCATACAAACGATCGAGTTCGGCAAAGCTTTCAATTGACATCGTTGGATAACGAATTCTGTAAAGCGATTCATCCAAATGAGCTTCAACTATCTTCTTCGTCATTGAATATCTTATAGCAATCAAAAATTATAAGAGCAAAATTTACACAACCAAACATACCTTTGCGTTATACATTCGATGCGTTGCAAACTACATTATTATTGATAATTAACAGTAAACTAAAATGATTCAATTGAAAATTATGTTTCACATAATGTAATTTTATTCAGCGATTTTATGAATGTATTAAAGAGGTAATCATTAAGTTTATTCCAGATCATTTATTCTAAGGTCTTCGAATATAGATTTAAGATACTATAACATTTAAAATATTTTTATATCGTTTAACAATAAATTGAAAAGATTTTTGAAGTTGGTTAAATTGTATATAGAAAATTATTCATTTTATCTCAACCCAAATGCATATACATTTTTTGTACACGTTGGTTATTATTATTTTATTCAGATTTTATGCGAAATTTCACCAGAAAATTATGGGTCGATTGGATTATCAAAAAAAAAATATTGTCTGTTGAGAATTAATAGTTTTCGTTTACTTTGATATTCAAATAATGTGGATTCTTGATCGATCCTTCCTTTGGATAATAGCCATGACATTGACGACACTTGATATCAATCAAAACACTGTTGTTTCCATTTCGGTTTCGAACAACGCTTAGCATTTCATCGTAACCGTCATTTGTAATGAAAATTTCAATGTTTTCACTACAAAATAATTCCAAAATCGACAACTGGTTTGCCTGCGACAGTAGTTCTCTTAATGTATACGATGTTAAAAGGGGCATTGCAAAATAATCTACGCACAACTTATGTAGTGCTGGAAAAACAGTTGGCAAAAATAGCAAATGATGTTGGTCAAAACCTTGTGGGGTGGTAAGTTTTAACACTTTGAGTTGCCTCATCGGAGGACCAATAAAATTATCATCATTTCTGAAATCTACATAGATCAATTCTAAGTGTTGTACCGATGAACTATTTTGAACCGTTTTTTGCAGGAAACGCAAGAGAGACATGCTGAATAAATCAAGTATCAAAACTTTCAACGAACTTAATTTTCCTATGGAGAGGTAGTATCGTATATTCGATTCAAGTTCAATCAAGTGTTCACTATTTTCATGTATTGGGCTTTCATCACCACAGTTTCGGAGTGCAACCTTCCTTAAATGTGTGTTTAGTTTCAGCAGACTATCTGTGATTTCCGCTCTATTCTTACCAAAGCTGTCGAATATGCGTAGATCGTTCAGCTCCATAGTTGTAGGTAATGTATCTGCGGTGCCATCACCAAATTCACAGTCGGTCAGGTGAAGTTTCTTCAATTTTTTCAATAACGGTTGTAGGCTCTGCATCAATTCTTTATTGAATGTAATATTATTGAGCACGAGGTCTTTGAGGCGAGTTGCGACACAATATCTTGTCACCAAATTAACGATTGATTGATTGTGAACACTGACTGATTCAACCAATGAAAATGTTTCTTGAACTTGTTGCTGGAAACGAGTGCAGACATCGATGGCAATGGCTAGATTTGTGATGTTAAGGTGACCAAACACGTGTTTTAAACAGTCATCGTTCAGCATATTGATGTTTGTTGATCCTGGTTTAAAGTGCTCGTGGGCTTCGGCGACAGTTAGTATTGCATTTCCACACAGTTGTACCGGCTGCAACAAAGCATTTTTAGCACTTTCGGCATCGATGAATTGCACAAAACCATAATTAAAGCTGTTTATTGAATGCCAACGGAAACATTCAACACCACCAAATTGCTCGAAATGATCGCGAAATTGTGGAATAGTCTGAAATTAGTAACAAAGTAAAGAACGTTAAATGTTTGGACAGCTTATTTCTGCCATCGGTAGCACTTACGATCGGTTCATCTGATGCAATGAATAGTGTGCGAATGGGAACACTGCAATGGTTGCGGGTGTTCTGCATGTAATCTGCGCAATTAGTCAAATTCGACTTGAGCTCGGGAGGGAAATCTGGTTGATGCCATGGTTTGCCTGCCATCACCCTCAATACAATGGTTCTAAAACGATATTCTGGATGTTGTAAGGCAGCTTCGGCACCATTACTTGTTCTGAATTGCACGAAACCATGTTGCGCCTGGTTTAGCTCATGCCAATAAACAAATTCAATTTCATCAAATTGGTTGAAAAATCCATAGATATCACCGTACTCCTGTGCAAAATAGACAGTGCGTTGTTAAATTTCATCATTAGTCTCGAGCGGTATCAAAACTATTCGAAAGGTATGGAATTAGAATTGAATTGAAAAACGTACGATTGGCTCGGTTGAAGCGATATAGAGCGTGCGAATGGGAACTGTAGCACTTGGAATTTCATCAAACGACCGATTATTAATGTACCGAAAATATGGAACTAATGCCGGCTCCATTGTTTCGGACTGTTTTCAAAATGATTCTGATTTGAATATTTCTCTCTGTGCGTTGAAGGCTTTTCTCACAGAAATCACCAAACTAAACGATAAACCACGTTATGAATATGTGAACGCGTATGTCAATACTTTGCTGTTCAAACGTAGAATAAAGTTTGTCAAATGAAAATGGCGACTTAATAAGATATCATCGCATGAAGCCAACGCACACACTAACAAATGAAGTGATCAATGTGATGATGTCACTTGCAATACGAAAAATCAAGCATAACGGAATTTGTTTATTCAAACCATAACAGTGTTTACACAGCATAGCGAAATGAGATCGTTGTTGACATCTCTTGTTTTGAATGTGAGTGCGTGTGGATGTTATCCCTGTGAAACACTACTACTTCGGTTTGAATCGTTAGAATTAATTGAAATATATGTTCTAAATATTGCATGTGGACTTAAGGTTAGTATGGCATTTTTCGTTTAATACAAAAATATGGAATGTTCAACAAATTATTACTGAACGTTGTACCCAAAATGCACCATGAAATCAAAAATGTGTCGACGAAAAACAATAAACATATTTGTTTGCATCAAATGTGCATGGACCAAACATCGACCGTATAAACAAAAATACCTATACACAATGGCATGTACTAAGGAGTCTAATGTCGATTGAAAACAAAAGGCAAGTTCTCATAATGTGCTTGAAACAAAAGTCGATGTGAATGATGTACAATGCCCAGCGAATGGTTTTTCTTTCGGTTTTTAATGCGCCGACCATACGGAGTGAAACATATATGAAAGACACACATATATATATATATACTAACAGTAAAACGTGTAGATTTATGTCGGTATAAATTTCTGGAGAGTAAATTGTTTTAGCGAAAATAATCAAGAAGATTCTGCAATAACCATTGCTGTAAGCGCACACAGCTATTTCTCTGGATACATTGTTTTGCACCAGTTATTTTCCTTCGCTCGTACAATATCCGTACGTACAGCACACGAATGGCACTGACAAAGACACAAGCGGTCAACGTATTCCCGATGCAATTAAGCAAAAATGACGACGGTGTGGTGCAAAAGGTCGAAAATTATAATGACAATTCGGGTTTTCCATGCCACATGCATATATACATTTAATTGAGTGTGAGTGTGTGATGTGCTACTGAGGACATGGGAGCATTTGCATCAGCAGCAGCAGCATCACGTAAAACCAGGGAGTTGAAGCCGAGTTCATCTAGGTTCGATCCATCGAGGTAGAGGCGACAGAGAATAGCATTATAAAAGAACAGATACGAAAAGGTTTTCGAATCTTTTACGACTAATTTTTATCTTGCAAGGATGAGTGTTTGTGTGGGTGTGTGTTTTTGTTTGCCTGAGTTTTCCACTTCCCGGTTCGAATGTGGATTTGACTTGAATGAGAGTCGAGCTCACACTTACATGCGGCGCTTGGGCACAAAGAAATTGCACGAAAATACCGTTGGGAAAAAAGCGAATAAATGAATTTCACCAAACAAATATAGTATCTGCTCATTATGTTCACACCAAATATAACTTGTGCTTCGAATGCCAACGATGCAGACGACGCAAAGGCGGCCAATGGGCGAGGGTGGAAGACATACAAGCCAAGCATTGAGAGTGTGCTGAGAGAAAGATATTCACGGCAAGTAGTGGCGATTGCTGACAGCACAGTACTTAAAAATTACCTCATAATACACACACACACACACGTAAGTGTACATACTCTGGTTTATATATCTATACAGAGCACTCAAGTTGACCGGGCGCCGTCGACATACACACACACAAACACAGTGCGAGCTGACACAGACGAACCCCCGAATGGTGGATGCATGTGTACTTGTACGTCCAATGGGTCGCAACGGTAGATTCAATTTGCACAATTGTGTGCGTTGTGGCTACCTCTCTGGCTTTTCTGAATGCTGTGTATGTGTGTGTGTGCTTTCAACGTGGTTCCACACTATTATCACGTTGATTTAAGATAACTTAATTTAATAAATGCATAGTTCCGTCATGAAATTAATTGTCGTCCTTTTGTTCAATTTTATGTTTTAATGATAAAAAAAAGAGAGGCGATGGTCACAACAACAACAGCAGCACTAGCACTATCCACATCATCAACAACAGGAGCAGTAACAACGATGGCAATATGTCGACGGAAATTGCCAAATTTTCATATTGTATTGTGTGGCACTTGATTGCTTGAATGCTTTATTAGGATGGTCGTTCATTTGTTCGGTCGTTCGTTGCCATCGGGAAAAATTGTCGGTGGATATAAAAGCAATAGCATAAACGATTAAAAAAGGACACTGAGAACAATGGAAAATAAATCTGTGCGGTAAACGCTTTCGTCAATTTCCATTCGGGTAAATGATACTTGAGTTTTGGGGAATTTTCCGATGAAGAAACTTTTCATCGATCAAATATATTTGAAGCGTCTTGTCATTATTTTATTCGTGCTCTGTGCAATCTCAACGCAGAAGGTGTCAGCACTAAAAAAAGAAAATTGTGTCAAGGAAAGTAAGTGGATAAGTGTATTTTCAACGAAAAAAAACAACCAAATGGAAATTGAATACTTAATCTCCCACTCACACTGGCATGATTTTTTTTTTCCTTTTTTTTGGAAGCAATCAGTATGTCACAATGTCTAATAGAGCAGTGAATAGGCTGTGAAATACACAAGTCTTTCACTGTGTGAGTGTTATGTGTGTAGCGGCATCCAGGCACTAAAAATCTGCTTGGCATTATGTTCAGTGACGTGCACAAAATCACGCAGCATCCAATAGACAAACACTAGGCGCAGCCAAGCAGTAGAAAGCGATCTAACAGAGAAAAAAAAATGAGAATGATTGTCGCTAGAATTGATAAGGTGATACTGAACAGGAGGTAACTACTATAATAATAACAATAATGCATAATACGGTGCCGTCGAAGTGGCTTAGCAACGTGAAAAACGTTGGACTAACCAAAAGGTATGTGTGTGTGTGTGTGTGTGTGTGTGTGTTTTTCCTCGCTTTTGTTCAACACACAAATATGATGACGATATCACTTATAAATTGAGAGTAAGTGTGCGGCTGTGTGTCTTGTAAAGCGGCAATATATTATGCGACAATGCACAATCTAAATACGTATTATAGGCGAAAAGCTTAACCTGTGCCGAACAATAGCAAGCCAAGCAAAATAGAAAAGATGAGAATAGAGAAAATTCGAATGAAATTCAACTGTGAATGGCGAGAGGAAGAAAAAAAAAGTGACGACGACGTTGGTGGCAGCGGCGACGACGATCGAGAAGAATGGAATAGAATAGGTAGCAATGGTGCTGTGTATTAGTTCGTTGTGTTAAATACACTCTGGCTCTCTTTGTGCACCGGATCCCGCTTCTCGTTTTTTCTTCTGTGCTCTATCGTTTCAGGTTCAATAAAAGGCGCTCAACTGCTCCCATTCAAGCAAAGGTATAATCCCGAGCAAAACCAAAGTAAAAATGCTAAAAAATAAAATATTGGATGTGACACGAAGGCCAACACACAGGCATGATTGTGTGTATGAGCATTGAACGCGTGTATGTATTACACTCTTTTGCTCGCTTGTGCTCTCTCTCTCTCTCTCTCTCTCTTTCGATGGCATGTGCCGAGAAATTTCGATTATGCTGCGAATGGTCTCTTAACAATGAAAGTGCTTTATTGGCATTTTCAGGCTTGCACACACATCAATACATAAACGGAAAGGTAAAATGCTTACGGTGTGAATATTTTCCGATCACATTAACAGGCATAAATTCAATCAGCCGAACACGAGGGGTGGACGAAGACGAACCTTTTTAAATTTATGTACAATATTATACTCATCTAGAAGAATGGAATATACATAATAATAAAATGGCAGCAACAGCAGCCGAAACTGAGGAGGAAAAAAACCAACGACGACGACGACGACGACGACGACGACGATGAGGACAACGTTTTCGGGGGAAACGTATGGAAATAGATTATCGGTTGGCTCATTCACGTGCGAAAAACCTTCTAATGCACACAAATCAAATGGCACATACAACAAAACAGGCAAAGCAGCAAACGGCATCTCCCTTGAATGCCATACGAAACAGCATAAGACACACGAAATCAGTGTGTGTGCTCTCTTCTCTCTTTCACTCCCACACCGCACACATGCCAACACTTTTAACGGTTACCGAAAAATTATGGCCATTCTACACTGGCAAAAACTTAACTCATTCTAGCCCATTCTCCCTCGTCCGCACCTTGGACGGCAAAAGACAAAATGGCACATCGTACGTGTGCATACGGCCGAAAGGCGTATTTTTGCCCTTTCGTTTTTTTCTTTTCCCGTTTCGTTATTTCCTTAATAAATAACATGTTTTCAAATTTAGGGCTATTGATGTTATGTTAATCGAACGATAAATTTAAAGAAATATTTCAGGCGAACGGGAAGGGAAAAAAGGCGAAGCTGAAAAGGAATGACGTAGAAGCCACAACGAAAATAAAGGTCGTTGCCACCGCCACAGCTATCACGTTCACGTCTCACACCGGCGATGCGTGTCAGGTGAATGCATCCAAAAATTACAATAACACGGATGATAAAATTTATTCGAATTTTATGCCGTCATGAAGCACCTATACAATAATGCCTGATTATAAAAATATGTACAAAATACCGTCATCCGTCGGTGTCATTTCGGCTCCCTTCTTCTTCTAACCCCACTCAATTGTAACAACTATAAAATAACATATATTATGAATGCTGAGTATCCCGATTCCATCACCGGAACTATATATCCATTCGCGCGCCAAAATGTTCAGCATCGAAAGGTTTTTGGCAACATCGTTTTAGTTTGACCGACGTATTGAAGAAGTACACACAATGCATTTTCAATGGTGAACGTGCACATGTTCGAGAAAACGAAAAGTCATTTTTGAAAAGCGTGTTCATATTGCTGCAAAAACCCAAAACCGATTCATATGAATGATGGCCCACAAACCTCGTTCGTTCCCATTCTCCTAGTCACTCTGCCTCTCTCTCTCTCTCTCTCTCTCTCACTCTCACTCTCACTCTATCTCTTCGTGTTCTCTCCTTCACTCCTTTACACGCTCATGACACAAAACACGAGCAACGTATGACAGCCACAATCATTCCGTTGCAGCTGTAATCCAAAAATATTTTCATTTTAAAATTTATCTGCGTATTTCAAATGAAATTTATCCAGTGATAAATACAGATTAGTGCATTTTATTTGTTTCGGCATTTCTTTCTTGCTGGCCACAGTGAGAGCGGCTAAAGCTGTACGACGCTGAAGAGCTGCGGCTCGCTCTCTCGCTTCCTAGGGTTATGTGAATGGCTGTAACGATTCGCTTGCAAATGGTTTCCTTCTCACAAAGTCGTCATGCATAAACATTATGTTCGGTGTCATCTGAATGAATGTGTCAGTCAAATATTAAAAAGCGAAGCTGATTGTGAAAGCCGGCCACTGGAAATCGAGCAAAGCTGCAGCTAAAGCAGTTTACAAGCGAAGCAGAATGAGAGAGAGAGAGAGAGAGAGAGAGAGAGAGAGAGAGAGAGAGAGAGAGAGTGAGAGAGTGAGACTAGAAGCTCTTTTCGGTGTAGTTAACGAAAGGAGCAAGTGCGAATTATTGCATCATTCCATGTGTACTTCTCTCGATCTATCTATTTGTCTGTACGTTCCGAACGGAACGAAATGTAACGGAAATGAATTGAATGTGAAAGCGGGCGAGTGTGTGTGTGTGTGCATAAGTGTGGGTTTTCGAGTTTTAAGTTGAGCGATTTGGTCGTTGCCTTGCAATGCATTCGCATCGTGTCGTATCGCCTTCACCCTTCCATCGAAAATTGCGAGAGCGATTAGAGTGTGAACGAAACACGATATTCACGAATAAATACAATATGAACAGATTTTATTATTGTTTTTAGCGAGAAATTCATAATATTTCCTTTAAAAATTTACAAGCGGATTTAAGAGGCATGACCATTGGTGTCTAGCATATGTCAGTGTTAAGCTGCAGTCTACGTTCAATTCGATGTCGTGGCTGCTGTTCGCTTATGCTCAAACATACACATACACACTCTGCTCCATGGGCTGATGGTTACGATCTAATTCCGTTTCGGCTGCGAAATTGGAAAATCTACAAAGTAAATGTGCCGACATACGACAGAGAGAATGAGGAGAACTGTGTACGGAAGCCTCTTTCGTGAAATGCGTGAGAAGGCAATTTTAAAACAAACACACGCTGCACAGAAATATGTCATAAACCAAGTGAAAATCTCTATCTCTCACTCAGCACAACGAAACGTGTGTTAAATAAGTCGTAAAAAATGACAACGCCAACAATAGAATACACACAAACAGCTCGCAACATTTTATTTGCTTTAAAATCGAGTGAACTCGATCTACACCTCACTGACTAGCAGCCTATGCTCGACACTATCGCATTGTTTGTTTTAACTTGACAAAAGATGAAAAGCTTTATTGTTAGATACAATTTAACGCTTATTTGCTTCGCAATATGTTGGGCCAGTTGGTTTGGCGAAGGAATGTGCGTTGGTCAGTCGTAAGACCGACTAACAACAATCTGTGGAAAACGGTGCAGAAAAAACACACACTCACACACGCACGCACAACGATGTCGGTAGGCCGTTGCACACAATAGAAGATGGTGTTGGCTGTTATTGTTGTTTGGGTATTTTTTTCAAACTTTTTGGAATTCGATTTGTTTACTTTTCCTCCGAAGCCGGTTCTTTGGCGCGTTGATAGTGGGAATGCGTTCTGGGGATGAGAAAACAGTTGAATGGATTAATAGCACTAAAGCGTACACAAAGTATGGACAATTTCTGCCCGAACACATTCAACTAAACATCATCGTTTTGGCGACCAACAGATTCTTCGACCAAACGAAAGTAGTAAAAAGCATAGCACAGTACGTTCAATTCAAGCATACTGGCCACTGAATAGGTCAGTCATGTAGTATTTCATTCTCGACAGGATGTGTACTCTAGTATTGTTGCATACGAAATCTCATCCCTCTCTCTCTTTCTCTCTGTTTCGGTGTGGCCCATGTCCGTAGTGTACCATGCTATGCATATGTGCACACAGCAATATTTAATACGATGAGGTGAGATGATACTGTCCAATGTCCATTCATTCATACATATCAGTGTAGTGTGTGTAGTAAAACTTAAGCGGCAGCTTATGCATCATACTCATGCGGAGGTCTACGAGAGTGTGGAGAAAGTGGCACAAGATACATTCATTACATGTGTGAAGCGTCAATAAACCAAAAACGGCCCCCCAAAAAAACATCCATACACACACACACACACACACAAACACCACTCCTCGTAAATTTGCTCCGTGTGCAATGACTGTGCTTGAGAGAGCAAATGAGAATGAGTGGTTTGAATGGGCGCGAGATTTAGTTACACATCAAATATGTCACTACTGAGATTTGTGTGCAAATTAAACACATCATCAGTTTTATTGCGTTGCTGTGTGCGTTCCGAAACACGGTTTGGGTGTAAATGATTGTTTCGATACAGGAGGAAAAAAAACGAAAACAAAAAAGATACGAAACATATTCAAACGTCGCACCAGAGATCACACATGCACCTATTTCACACCATTCCGAAGATGGGGCGAAAGAGTTAAACCTTTTTTGACTTTGTGTCCATCTCCCTCTCCCTCTCCCTCTCCCTCTCCCTCTCCCTCTCTCTCTCTCGTTCGACATTTTCGAATCGAATGCGATACACTTTTTGGCTTTGCGTAAAAAGCTTTTAATCCAGACGGAATAAGATACTCATCATTACGGTACAATGCATTCCGATGTCTCACTTTAGGTATACAACAACTCATCCGTGTGTATTTGCTTAGTTGGTGGGCCGAGAAAAGCATGTGGATCGCATCGAGAGACACAACACCGAAAAGCAAAATAGCCGGAATCACCGTTGAATACCTAAGCATAAGAAAAATAGTTTCGAGTTAACATCATTTAAAATGGCATTTATTATAGGTGTATCCATCGCTCACTAAAGTGCGAGACGAGAAAGTGACTGGATTAAAAATTAATGGTAAGACTACAAGTTTATCACTCAACCAAACACCATTGAGATCATTAATACATCAACAGTATGTGATTGTCGGGTGAGTGAAATGACGAGAGACCGGTCCGAAATGGCACAATACACACACACACCTAACATTTCACACATTTAATATTAGGGGATTTCAAGTTATTGCCACTTTAACCGTTCATCCCAATTATTTCAGCAGCTCAATATATGTATATGTCTTGTTTTACGTGCTAAACGAAATGGATGTGGATGTGTGGGTATGCGGTAAAATGACGTTTCACTTTTTCCACCGACAAACGAACGAAAACATAACGTTAAGCAGTGAAAATGTTTTTGTTACAGAAAGAAGAAACGACACAGAGCAATAACAACAAACACATCGACTTGCATCATCTTCTTTTCTATATACCTTCATCCCGCATATATACCTCTAACATCAATTTTTGACTTTTTTCCAGTTGAATTTTTATTGACCGAATGAATTGTTTGCCCCGAAATAAATTTCCGTTTATCATGGTTTTTACTACCACTTCATTTCTGTTTGCTGTGCATCTTCTTCATCATATACTCCTACTCAACACATTTTATTTTCTCACTTTTGCCACCAAACCAAAATCCAAGCTGCTCAGCTTTAACAGCGACAAAATTCAACACCGGCTGTAAACGAGAAATAAATATGTATGCTTCGCTCTCCTTCTTCTACACTGATATTTATATTTTGTGCAGACACATAGAGCACGACTTTCCCAAAGGACATCAACTGTAACACGCTAGGTAAATGGCGAAAAACGTGCTGTGAATTTAAAAATAAAGAGCAACCAACCAACACATTGGCTCCTTCTTTTCCTTTGCGACTTGTGTTTTCTAGAGGTGAATTCTCAAAAATGTTGCTTTGCATGTTCTTTTGGTCTATTTTTTGTTTTTGTTGCTTTTCCGCATTTTACTTTTTTCATGGACATGTGCGCCTTTACGATGATGATGCCACCTAAGAATATTGGCCATTGTTCGTGACAAATAGTGCAGTTGTGGCTGCCACTAGTTCATTGAATGCAAGTGAATATATCAATGCCATTGAATCGTAAATTGAGTCCTTAGTCATTTGTCGCATTGAAATTAAGTGAAGATGTGAATACCTAAAAAGGGACCACAGATACAGTTTGAGGTTTGAGAAACAAAGAAAACGAATAAAATATTCTCTTGAAATTCCATCTTCTTCTTCTTCTTCTTCTTCTTCTTCTTCTTCTCTCTCACTCTTCTTCTCTCTCACTCTTCTTCTATTTCTTCTTTTTTTAAATTTTTAAAGAATTCAAATATAGAATAATTGTTCAATGTCATTCACATGATTAAAATAATCGTTTTAATTGGCCATTTTTGCTGCCATTATCAATCGCTTATAATTTAATTCAAAAATGAACGTAAATATTTTGATTATTATATCACTGAATTTCGTAATTGTTTTTGTTTGGTTGTTTTGCGAGAGAAAAAAACTGACGATAGATTGCATTTGAATGAGATTTTCTTTGATGCGAATTATCAATCACTTGACACATTCAGTTCACTAGTTTTTATACCACTGCTACGTCAAAACCAGCGTCAGTCACTTGTGCGTTCGATATTTTTATATATGAATTTAATAATTAAAGTCGACGGTATTTTACGAAAATAATTTTCTTTTATTGAAACAATGTTCTCACGTCTATGGTTTCTCAAAGAATGAATCAACGTCAAAGAGCTACTCAATACAAAGGCTCTATGATGGCCGACCAAAATGCCGGAACTAACTATCTAATGGTGAACCAAAATGCTGTCATGGCGGAGCAAAATGCCGGAAGGGCACATTCACTGTGACATTTTTAGAATCTGATCAGATTGAATTTTTTTCTAACCATTTTGGTAAAAAAACCTGCCCAAATCGGAATGTAATATCGGGCATAATTCGAATTTATTCCTGCCCAATTTAGAATAATGTCTGGCCAAAATAGAAAATATCTGCCCAATTGGATTTATCCAAACAAAACTCTGTTTTTCGAGATATAGCCATTAGAAGTTGGAAAAAACATGAAAAATCGACAAAAATCAACTAAAACTCATTTTTGTTGCCGTGAATAAGGGCAAAATCATAAACCAAAGTGTTTTTGCGTTCAGATGAATAAAATTCTTCCGGATACCAGCCCTTCACCAAGTCTGTTTATATGACGCAATCAACTAAAAACTCAAAAAAGTACTTTTCATGAAAAAATCAAAACGATTTTTAACTACAACATTTCATGTTTCATTCTCTTTGACTCAATACACACCACTTTGTGTTTGTTTAGTGTTATTTGGTTTTGTTGAAAAAAAAAATTCGGGTACAAAACAACTGATATCAAATAAAAAAACTTCTTTCAAAGTATTCCCTCGTGACGAAAGCGAAGACAAAACAGCTGATATCAATTCAAAAAAATCATTTCGGAGCGATTTGGATTTGCTTTTTTTGCATTCTTCCAACTAATTTCAGAATCGCTCCGTAATGATTTTTTTTAATTGATATCAGTTGTTTTGTCTTCGCTTTCGTCACGAGGGATTACTTCGAAAGAAGTTTTTTTATTTGATACAAATTACACAACAATATAGATTTAAAAAAAAAGAGTCTATGGTCAAAATTGGAAATATGCATTGAAAACATTCCATTTGAAAATTGTGTTGAGAATATTCCCATTGATAGTGATATCAGTGGGTCTTTTTTGTTTGTCGCAACATTGAATGGAAACGGGTGTTAAATAACTCAATTGCATTCGTTATTGACACATTTAAACACAAATAAATCGCATTGATGCTTGTTTTTGGTTAGTTGTGAAAGCACCCTGTAATGAATGAAATTATGATAATAGAATCATTATGGCATTATTTGTGTTCAACCGATTTGTTCGTTAGTATGCATTTGTTTTGATGTCGAAACAACCGACAAATCTACGTACTAATAAATCGAAATAATGTCATCGAATACTGCAGTAATTGTGTTAGCCGTGGTTATTTTTGCCGGTGGACAGGTATAATATCTAAAATCAATTAAATAATTCCTCATACCCAAATCAAAATAACACACTCACCCTCTGTCTTTCTCTCTCTCTCTCTCTCTCTCTCTCTCTCTCTCTCTCTCTCTCTATCTCATCCTTCTGTGCAACGTTTTGAAATGTTGGTCGTTGCGTTCGCATCGATCATGTCCGAAACGGAATCCAACTACTCACATACAGTTCGGGCACATTGAATGCACCGCCGCCAACACCACGACCAGCCAGGAAATGCAACATTCACCAAATGCAACGAACACAAGCACTCAGGCGTACATCAATAAATATTTACCGGTTATGTGGTCAGCGCTTAAAAACGCAAATACCGATAAATATTTGCTTACAATGAGAAAACTCCAAATCCCATCGAAGCAACTGTACGACAGTCTGAAAATTTGCATTTTAAAATATTTAAATGCCATCGAGCCGATTGCATTTGTAAACGCATCCAAATTGCCGAACAACAGTTGCGGTTATATGGTGTTGCTGGACCACGTCGGTGTGCTGCATATGGCGAGCAAAAAAGCATTTCGATGCTTGAAGTCATACAAAATCAGCACAAGCATCACTTATGCAAATGTAACACAGGTAACGTATAAATCCCCTCCGGTCAGCCCATCAGTAACGAACACTGTTGGTTCACTTTTTGTGTTTTTTTTTCTTGCCCTGTTATCGGTGTGCTTTTGGTTTGTTTTTGACATTTGACCATATATTTTCCCTATCAGGAGTCAATGTATAACGAGCAACCGGACGCTAAATCCTTGTATTCCAAATGTCTCGATGAAGTTGTAAACGAAGCGACGAACGATTTTGAATCACTTGAGCCACGGCTAAAGGAATGTTTGGAAAATCCTACAACACCGGATCAAAGTACATCCGATTCAACTGATTCGAACACTACTCCAAGCGTATAGAAGTAATGATGATTAGTTTATTATTATCAACGGGTTTTTTTTATCGCTAAATTTGTGCTAAAAGTGTGTCAATTTTTTTTGTACGATTAAATCGAAATAAACAACTTAATTTTGTCCTAAATCTATTTACAACAGGTACAAAAAGCATCACCACAGTGATAAAAAAAGTGTTTATTTTTTGTTTCAATCCAGCTGGTGAAAATTGTCCGTAGATATAAATTACAGCCGATTTTATTTATATGCATGCCGTGCTTTTTCCTGTGGAAATTCATTCAAAATCATTGCGATGAATAAATCGCCCGTGAAATATTTTCAATACGAGAATGAAAAAAAATGGACGATGCACGATATTGTCCATTGAATCAATTGTAAATTGCAAAGTGTGGTTCCGGGAGAAGAGCGGAGTAAACGATATTTTTCGGAAACAATTGTGATTTTGTTTAATTGGATTTCTCCATTCTATGCGTTCGTTGATCGAGTGAGAGAGATGAGCTGATTTGTACGCGATTTGTTTGTTTCAATGCATTTTTCGTGTTGCATTTTCGATGAATGCGCTCGTCCGATATATTGAGTGGTGTGTGTGTGTGTCGTAAAAACAGCCACATCGAAAATGATGTGCAGTAAACATAATTATTGAAATTCGTCTCATACAATGGCAAATATAGATAATATTTAAATAATATGACATGCAGTCATCTATCATCGTTTGGTGAACGAGCATTAAATGGCACTGATAAAGCGAATAAAATGCGTGCTTTGGCTTTCTCTGTTGTGCCATTTTTTGTGTGTGTATGTCGTCGCTGTTGCTGTTGTGTTTGTTGTTGTCGTTATCCCATTCCTGGTGTTTTCTGTGCCGCTCACACAAAAAAGGTGTGATGTGTCTCTGTGTGTGTTTGTGCGCGTGATTTTGTTTATTGTTGATTTTTGTGCCAATTCACACAATGCTCCGACCACATGATGATTCAGTTAACATTTTTCCTATTCTGCCATTCAACTGATTTGATACTAAAAGCCGCTTTTTACGAACATTCAATGTGATGTGGAGTTTTTTTTTTCTCGATGTAGTTTCTTGCCGTTGCACATTTTTTCCCTCTCCCTCTCCCTCTCCCCCTTTTTCTGGTTAACTCACACTCTCTCACTTTTTGTCTATTTCTATCGCGCTCGCTCATTTGTCGTTATCTCATTTTGTAGTGGCAATTTTGCATCTCGCGCTTGATGACCGATGCAAGTGAAAAATTACAAAGCGGACTATTTGAAATGAATTATAGTTCACGTTTGGTCATGCATGTTTGCATTGTCAGATTTGTGTGTTGGCGGTGCGTGCATTTCCGTGCTGCTCGCTTTGTTATGA